CGGGGGGGGGGGGGGGGGGGAGCGGGTAAAATCTGCCCGAATTCTTGGTCTTTCAATTCAAGATGATTTGAAATGGAACGAGCATGTGAACCATATTGTTAAAAAAGCGGGAAAACGCCTTTATATGGTAAGGTTGTTAAAACGATCAAATGCCGACAATAGCATTCTAATTTTGGTATACTGCACCATTATCAGACCAGTACTCGAATATGCCTGCCAAGTTTGGCACTTCAATATTACAGAATACCTAAGTGAAGATATCGAAAAACTCCAGAAGCGGGCTCTGCGTATTGTCTTGCCATTCGCTACTTACAAAGAAGCTTGCAATATTACTGGTATACCCTTACTGAAAGATCGGGGGCGATTATTATGCGAACGTTTTTTTGTTAAAAATGCACATGGAGACAAATTGGGTGACCTCTTACCGCCTAAACTTGATCATAACTATAATACACGTTATGGAAGCGATTATAATAACTATTGTTGTAAAACGGACAGATTTATGAAATCGCTTTTTCCACAGATGGTTTCACATATGAATAGACCATAATTTTAATATTTCTAAATTTGAACTCTATAACTTTTTCAACTGAAGTTATGAATAATTTTATGCATTTAGATATTCATATTGTAGTATAATGAGACTTTTTACTGATGTAATTTAACCTACAGGTTACAAATCGGTATTTTATTAAATTAAATTATTATAAATTATTATAGTATCCGTGAATGAAAACAGTACCGCATCGCCGCCGAAATGCGCCCCGTTCGCTTTAATATTTAACATATAAAACGTGGGCTTTTAGTGTTATCCCGTTTCCTGTATGATGCATGCATTTTACAGTCTATTAATTACAAAAACTTGCGCGTTGGAACAAAATTCTATAGACGCTAATATCTAATTGAAATTAATAAAATTATATGTTATTAAAATCACATATGTGCACTGCGCTGTTATACTTATATAATATATCATAAGCATAAGCTATATAGTAAGATAACTGACCCGCAGTGTATAGTATGTTCATCGTCTGTATTATTCTAAACAAAGTAGCAAATGCGTTTTCCAACAAGCACACTAACATCCCCGTCAGTTAATTATCAGTTTTAGATTCTGATTCCCCGATTCCCGGATTCCCCATTCCCTATTTTAAAGATAGCCCTTGCTCTACGCCCTCCGTGCCATTCGATAAAATTTGACGTTATCAACCATCAACCAATCAACATTCTTGACCCAGTCTTTTGACGTTACTCATGCCGTCCGTGTTGTCAAAACCCACGGTGGGAATCGAACCTACGACCTTTGGAATACCAGCCCAATGCTCTGCTGTGGCCAGCCATATTTTTCAAGCTTGCTCGGTGTGGATATTTATTTTGGCTATTGTCAGACAAACTTTTCATCTTGCCCGGTGCACACTCAGAGTAACATATCGCAAACATCATATTCACCTGAGTACATAACATACAAAAAGTATCATATCTTAAAATACATTGATATCGAAGGAACAAGACTCAGTTCCGAAATATCACCAACCCGACGTACCATGTAGCTCAGTTCGTAGAGCATTGGACTGGTATCCCAAAACAAAGGTCGCGGGTTTGAGGTCAGACAAACTTTTCAGCTTGCTCGATGTGGATGCACACTCAGAGTAACATCGCAAACATCATTATTCTTTAAAAGGTTTGAATCCAGGTTCATTCAATTTTTTTTTGTTTTATTGTTCTTCTAGATTATTACAAAATTAAATAAGTTTTGTCTGACGTTTCGGTTTCCTATACGAAAAGCTGACGCAAGATAAACATCAACGGATAAAATGAACAAACGTTCAAGTCTTCGAAAATGGTTTTCGTATAGGAAACCGAAACGTCAGACAAAACTTATTTAATTTTGTAATAATCTAGAAGAACAATAAAACAAACAAAAAATCATTATTCTTGTCGTTGAAACCTCAATGCTGTAAAAAAAAGCAGTTTTAAAAGAACGTAAACAATACTTCATACTGGTTAAAATAAACAGCAGCTTTGGCTTTTTTAGTAAAATTCTTGAATTTTTCCTCAAAACTTAGGGTTATTTATGCATAATTTGGGTAGAAATTGGCAGGAGCCTTATGGATAATTTGGGTAAAAATTGACAGCTCATTAATATTCTATTTTGTTGCTATCGATCCACTACTAATCGGAGAAAAATGCGTGCCGAAACCTAATGTGATAAATGATAATTAACTGTATCACTACTAATTATTTTAAAATATAGATTAATACTTGAAGCCTCTTCATTAAACTGAGATAGAACGTGTGGTCATAAAAACAGCTGTTTAAGTATATTTCATTGAAACAGTGAATTATTGTGCAAACTATTTGTGATCACTCAATACTTTACTCGGGGGGGGGGGGGTGACCCCCCCAAAATACGAATCATCTGGACTGGCAGGGCAAATCATCTGGATAGGCAGGGCAATCAAAGATTTTATATAATAGAATGTAGAGTTATCAAGTAACTTACAAGGCTTTCAGAGGAATTTATAGACCTAAATGTTACAGATATGTCCGGAAAAATTTTTTGTGTTTAATAGTGGTCAGAAATAAAAATTTGCTGCAGGGCATCATCAGTTTTGGCAGGGCAATTCTGGCAGACACTCTCCGAATTAAAAGGGGCTAATTTCGCCCCTGTTTACAATTTATTTAGCGAAATATTAAGTTATTTTACGTGAGTGTACAACAACTGACCTGGGTGACAGAGAAAAAATGCAAAAGAATAGACGGGTAAAAGAGCAAAGTAAGATGCAATGCAGTGTGCTTAAAACAGTCTTAAAGTTTGGATTATACAGCATGACATACTTTTTCATGCCCACACACTCCGACATGAATGCCAAATTAGTTATGACAAATGCGTAAGATTTATGCTTAATTGCACCACAATAGTTATCCTAGTCTTCATCCAGGGGCGAAACTTGAGGGGGGGGGGGTATGGGGGGTGTGGCACCCCCAAGATACAAATTATCCCAATTGGCAGGGCAATTAGGAGTACAATTTTTAGTGATAGAATGTAGAGTTATAAACAAGTAACTTATAGAATGTAGACTAGATTATAACAGCTAGCAAACAATAAGCAGTTCGTATGCATGTACATTGGCATCGGCAGGTCAATTATACACATAGCTTAGAGATGTATTGTATTAGCGCTGGCGCTGCAGGGCATCATTGGTTTTGGTTGGGCAATTCTGTCAGACACTCCCATAATTAAAAGGGGCTAGTTTCACCCCTGTCTTCATCCAGATAATGCAACCCTAGGATAACATTGCTAACCTAGTTTTTAGAACAATTTTGAGTATGTCTAACTAATTATAGAATGTCTAATTAATTATGTGTGATTGATAATATGTTTGTTTTGTTTGTATACTGTTAGAGACCAGGGAAAATTCCTGAGTCCCCATGGTGCTTAAATCTCAAATTCACTCCATTAGAAAAGGAAAGAAAGAGAAGGAAAGTGTTGTTTTCTGATTTGTTTAAACTCCTTTTGTCGTTTGCCCTTAGGCCAAGCTGATTAATTAAATATAGGATAATGTTTTGAGTTCCCTCGAAATGGAATTTGACCTCATACTTAAATACATTCAGCACATTTCTAATGTAATTTTAATACTGTAAACATTCCACAACTGCTTAAATTAATAAATAACACCCCATAGGTTGCCATATATTCTGTTAGCATCCTGTGTGATCATGTATTTCTAAGAAAACTGGTTTGGATGTCAACTTATGCAGATAACTGTAACTATTCATATTACAGTTTTCTTTTTTGAGGGGAAATACATGCATATAATTGTAGGAAATGATTTATAAATCAGTTGCACACCGCCAACGCACTAAGATCTTGCATTTGTGTGTCACTAAAGGTCAGCCAGATATCCAACCTCAGCAATTTAAGTCATTCTAACATATCCCAATATCAGTGAAATAGTAAAGGACAAACGTTTGGTTTCTAGGCGACATATGTGGCTGAAAAAGTGATCTTTGTGGACGGTTTTTGAATTTATATACAGGAAAGGAGTGGTCAAAATATGTGGTGAAATTTGCATAAATTCTTGTAGGAAGACGTAGGAAGATACAAAAGGGAACTAGACTGATTAGAAAATAAACATATAGGCCTGATTGTATGATGTACAAACCTGAGGTTATTACTGTATAACAATAAATATCCGAACTCCGAAGATGGAGATTATCTTAAGAACCCAGATTTAAAAATATAAGTTATATTAATGTAATGTAATATATTTATACGAACAGATCAGGGGATTTGTTTTGAAAGACTTTTGGGTTTATCCCGATTATATGAAAATAATACCAAACTGTCAGCTTTCGCTTATTTTGGAACGTAACATGTGCTTATAATGCTGCTCGTTGTTGGGGAGTTAAAATATTGTTAATCTATCATAATCTCAAAAATGAAACTCACCAGTCCTGAACGTCTTGAAATGACTCTTCATTTGTTATATCGTACAGTAAAATGAAGCCCATTGCTCCACGATAATAAGCCGTAGTTATTGTACGATATCTTTCTTGCCCGGCTAGGAACAGAACACAGATGTGAGACTCTCTTTGGTCAAGAGTTTACAACACAAGTTTTACAATTCAACTCACCCGTATCCCATATTTGCAGCTTGACACGCTTGTCGTTTCGAAAGACCGTCTTCACTTTAAAATCTATGCCAACTGTAGAAACAAATGCGGAGGTAAATGAATCATCGGCATAGCGAAAGAGCAATGATGTTTTCCCCGTTGCAGAATTCCCAATGATGAGCAATTTAAACATATAATCAAAGTTTTGATCGGCTGCATCTCTTTGCCACGTCTTGTCATCAGCAGACGCCATTGCTCGCTGCTTTGCAATGTTTGCTTGTATTTTGCATATGTAGCAATTTTGACAAATCAGAATGCATAAAGTATAATTAGAACATTCCATCCACCAATCAGGAAAGGGATATTATGCAAAGTGTTTCATGAAATATGCAATACTGGAGCAATAACAAATATTGAAATATATTTTTATTTTTAGGGAAAATATCTTTTAATAACAAATCAACGCTGAAAATAGAACAACAAAAAATGTATCAAATTATTAACACGTATTGTTGCTCCTTTGAAAACTTTTGTTGATATATTAGCTATAGTAATGCAAGTCGATATTTTGTCGAAGCTTTTTGTTTTTATTGCTGATCAAGTTAAAGTATGAATGTATCGCAAACCACAATGTATAATTTGATCTAACAGTTGATAATGTTTCTCCAGAGTTCACTCGGCCTATTTTTTGCGCGTTCTATATACTTGCGTCGGTCGGTATCTCGCCCTAAAAATTTAATAAACGAAAGGAATATCGACTCCTACGTATTTGTTTTCAAATTTTATTATTTCTGAAATTAAGAAATATTGTAGGGAAAAAATATTGATTTAGAATTCCTCAGTCTAAACAAATATCTCAGTACTCCCAGTGTGGTCGAAACCTTGCACAGGAATATTATGAGAGCAAGTTTGAACCCTCTATATTTGTTTCAAAAGTTAACTAGTTTTCTCAAAATTTTGATGCAGTAAATCCCGTAGTTTGGACTTATCACCTTTTCAGAAATCTTATAAACTATATGGAATTTCCTATGGCCTAAACAAATAACTCAGTAGTCTTGTGGTCGAAAACTTGAACAGGAAAATATTGTGAGTTCAGGTATTTGTGACCATTTGTTAGTAAACATTAATTATTTTATGGTAGTATAAAGTCCGGTACGGTTTAAAGATGATGTCCACCCCTGTGCACATGCGCGAGCTTTGTTTACGTTTTGAACTGCTATATTTGTAAAATATGATATACTAACTGAATATCTAATACTTTTCTGGTTCGTTTACTTGTAAATGAATATAAACTATACGTTTCAATTCAAAAACGTTCGAAAGATGCAACATTTGGGCAATGTTTATATCTGGGGGTCCCATTGTTATGCGCAGAACGGAGTGACATCATCTTAAAATTATAGTGTACACATATGCTGCATATGTGTGATATGCAGGTCCGTATTACTAGGATTCTAAGGCTGCGTTCAGACTGAGTGTCCAATGTTCAAACTGGTTCCCAAAACATGTTGAGCACAGTGCCGTTGTTGAGTAATACCTCTAGAAGTAGTGCCCTTTCTTGGGCTGCACTGTGCCCAATTTCATTTGGAAGCGTCGTGTTTAAATTAGGCGCCAAAACAAGTGACGGGCACCAGTGCCAGGCACCTAGTCTGAACGCAGCCTTAAATTTACTGAGTCGAGTCGTTGATACATGCTTCCCCAGAAAATGTTTGATTTTCTAAGGCTTAGAAACGTTATTTCCTGCATTCTGGGAGCAATTTTAACAAAAAATCAGTAATGATAAACAGTGACACAATGACTATAATTTCATAGCGTGTCTCACAACTGTACTCAATCATAAAAGAATTCTGGTACTGTTGGTCCAACACGATCAGGTGCATGCATAATAAGAAACGTGTTTGTGGTAATATTTGGGACACTAATTCGTACTTCTACCCTTCATCAGAAATTGAATAAATTTCATTCCAGATCTGTTTTCTCTAAACTTGAAGTCTTCCTGTTTTGAAGTTGATTTTTTCACAAAAAATATTAGTGAAGCTGACTGACTCGGTTGAAACTGACTCGGTTGACTCATAGCTAGTAACGGGCCTGATATGCCCAATATGTAAACTCGTTTTCAATCTATAATGTTCTTGATGTTATTAAATGTTTTACAGCATGTACATGTATCACACAAATATAGGCTACTGTGAAACTATAAATATCTCAAAATGAGCCATATACAGTCGAACCTGTATTAAGCGGCACCGTATTAAGCGGTCACCCTTTGTTAAGCGGTCATGTGGCAAAGTCCCGAAACTTTCGTAATATAAATACTATTTAAGTGACCTTTATTGAACGGTCACCTCTATTAAGCGGACGCGGTCACCTTTTCGATGGTCCCAAACTTAATTTTTCATTGTTTTGAAACTCTATTAAACGGTCAGTGGAAAGTAACTACAGCAAACATAATACAATATATAATTAAATCTTTATTTGGCAACATGTCAAAGTCTTTAAATTGTATATATCTCATTACTCGAACTTCCGTAATCACTGAAAGTGTCAACAGTATTTTCAGTTCGTGTGGACGTATTATTCAAGCAATTTAAGCCGTGTGGTGATTTTCTACAAGACCTGTATTAAGCGGTCAACCTGAATTAAGCGGTCACTTGCGAAATCCCCGAGGGTGACCGCTTAATACAGGTTCGACTGTATTAGCTATTAAACAGCCCGCGCTCAATAAGTTTCACTTGGATTTCTTATGAAGTTGCACGAATTTTTTTTCTTTCCCCAAGAACTTGCAGGATTTTTAGTCCAACTCCTTGGATGAATTTTTTTTGGATCTGCCACCCCCTCCCAGGATATCTAATGGTCCACCCCTTAGCTGTCATCTTTTCAATGTGGTCAGCCCACTGTAATTTGTCTGATATCATAATGCCTATAGATCTTTAGTATGTGGAACTCATTCGAGAGTTTGATCAGCAAGGTGGTGTAATCTCGCGTTTGTAGGAATCTTTTTCTTTGATAGATGCAGGGTTTTACATTTAGAGGAACTGAACGTCATATTTGAATTCCCACTCCATGTTTCCATAAAATCCAATTGAAGTTGAGCAGAAATTCAGAAGTTGAGCAGAAATAAGTGTGTAAGTATCCTATAAAGCTTGGAATCATCAGCAAACAGTAGCAGTTGGGATCCATTTCCTATATAGTCTGGTAGGTCATTAAAGAAAACTAAAAACAAAAGTGGACCAAGGATGGACCCTTGGGGAACTCTGGAAGTCACTGGTACTTGGTACAGTGCCGCCCAGAGGGGGGGGGGGGCAAAGGGGGCAATTTGCCCCGGGCCCCGAGTTGCTGGGGGCCCCTGAAAAATTTTTGTAGGGGCCCCGCCTTTTTTGTGTGTTAAATATTTCCGCGCAAAGGACAAGATATCTGTTTTCTTGGGCTAAGTACCGAATTTTGGCCTAAAAAATGAGATAAAGTCACTCGAAAGCGTTTGCAACGTACGCGTCCGGCAAAATTTTGCGTCCGAAAAATTTTTTTTACCTCTAAAATGGTACACTGACCGAAAAATTTTTGGCGACGGGGGGGAGGGGGAGGTCGCCAAAATAATATCCGGAAAAAATTTTTCCGGAAAAATTGCCCCGGGCCACCGCCAACCTCTGGGCGGCCCTGACTTGGTAGCTAACTAGAGAACACTCCGTCAAGTACTATCTATATCAGATAGGTATCAAATAGTTGTACAGTACAACTATTTGATACCTATCTGATATAGATAACCATGGTACTACATAAGTAGGTTTCCTGATATGCCATAAGAAGACAACTTGGTAATTAATAAATGTTGGGCACTTAGTCAAATGCATCTAAATTTATATAGATAGCATCAACCTCTTTCCCTTGTGCTAGATTGTCTAGGATATGATGGTAAACCTGTAGTGTGACCATAGATATATTATATACACTAGATAACGCATCTCTTTTAGTAAAACTGAAGCCAAGAAGATTCCAGCGGTTACCCCCATTTGAATAGATGGCGGCCATGTTAGTCGTTCTCACTCGCTAATAAACACTTAAAAACAACAATAACTTTCATCATTTCAATACTTTAAAAATGTATTTGGAATAGGGTTAACTTAATATTTCCCTGTTTAAGAAATGGGAAATATACGAGTCCTCTCTCATTTCATGGGAACGACCTGGGACTGCAATCACGGCTTCAATTTTTGAATTGCAGAATAATTAGATGCACTATTTAGTGTATATAAGGTATCTATGAGTGTGACTCAGTAGACCGTCCTCTCTGAAATGCTACTGCATGTCGTACTACCACCTGAAAAATACAAGCAAAACTTTGACTTTTCGAGCGAAGGTCACGATAAAGGGCAATCGCAGTCGCAGCGAGGCAATATCCTACTCGTGACACTGATGTTTCTCCAGAGTTCACTCGGTCCGGTCTTTCGCACGATCTTGGTCGATCTATATATTGTTTCCGTCGGTCGATGTGTCGGTTATGGTTTGGACGTCTTGCGCTAAAAATCTCAATTGGGCAATTCTGTCCAAAAGACATCAAAATGTGTTCACACCTGATCAATTTTTTGGATACAGCAATGTTGGTTTGTTTCCATCGTTAGCTGGCGCCAATAATTAAAAATGTCGATAACTCAAGCTACAACTGTATTTAGATCTGATTACGATAAAACACAACCAATAACAGTCGACTTTAGAGTGTATTCTGTATAGCAAGGGATCGAAATACCGGGAACACAGAGGGGCAATTGGGGTAGTTGCCCATGTTGCCATTTACCTGACAAACGTAGTGCCCTGGGGCCGACCAAGGGTCTTATCTCCGCACGCGACAGGTAAAGACCCTGGTTTGCGAAGTTACCCTGGGGCCGGTTGTACGAATCACGGATGTGGACCTCATTGAATTTATAAACACTAAAGTGTAACGGATCTTGGTTATACCAATCAACGGAGGATTTTTAGGAAGCTTGAAAAAACGCCATTCGGTGGATAGTGCTATCCGCTCCCTGGTCAAAAAGATGGATTGCTTATTCAAAGCGATATTTATCCAAAAATCGTATTAGAAAATGCGAACCTGTGCTATATATAGACTAGGCTAACGTCTCAAATGATTTGGTTGCTCGAATTATTAAATGGCTGGAATTCAAACCAACTTAGCGTGCAGTTGGTTAGAACGCCACACTAAAGCCGCACTTCGTCGACACTTATGCCAGCAAATGAAGGTTACACATATGGTTGGTATTAACATATAAGCGTGGGGGGAGGGTCAGGTACTCATATACACATGATAGATTCATGGATTCATGCATGGATACCATCATGCGAGGTGACAGAATGGTTGCAATTGTCAAAGACAAAAGAAACAAATCAACAATCAGTGAGTTTGCTATGATTTATTTTCAATATCTAAAACTACGTCAACTAACTAACTGATATTCCATATCATGAACAAACATTGAGTAGTTTGGAACAAGTATTAAAAATTGTTAAAAAGGTGGATATCTTCCATTATTCATACTGTATATTATCATAAATTATCTTAAATGTTTAAATGTTGACCACCACATGCTACCCTGCAACTCTTACACAAACCCACTAGTTTACTGCGTGGAAATACTTATTAAATTAAATAAGAACAATTAAGTATATAATAGTTCATCCCAGTATTTCCCAGTATTAAGAAATTTTTAATTTCATTTCACACAGGTGGATGCATTTGTCTAGAATATTCGTTAGTTGCTGCATGTTATAGTGCGAGGGATTCAGAAAATTATTCACCTGCAGATACAATTGAATATGCCTGAGCAGAGTGATGTGAATGATGACATGTGGGGAATTAGAACACATATGTATGTTATGCACCCTTGTTAATAACACCATGGTTAAAAATTTTCTGGTTAATCTGAAATTAACACTATTCTCTGGTTATTCTGAAATTAACACTGTTTGGGGTAACTTAATGGATAACCAGCCTATATGGTTGAATTAACCATATTATGTTAGTTGGACCCGCATCTAAAATGCATGCCAAAAAGTTTTTCTATAACTAGCCAATATCAGTTTTTAGTATTTTTGCACAAGTGAATATAACAAATCCTACAAGTTGATTGGTCAAATTTGACGTATTAAGCTGTTATATATTCACCTATACAGGTGAATATAACAAAACCGAAATTTTCAAAATGGCGGCTAGCCGTTTTGTGGAAGTTACTCATAAAGAAATAAGCGAAATTAAAATAAATTCAGTCCCAAAAAACACAAAAGACTTGTGTAAAGATAAAAACAATTATTCGCCTCATGCTCGGTGATTATCGGGGAATATTCATCTCGACTTCGTCTCGGCGAATATTCCCCGATTATTAAGAAGTTTTCAAAAGTTGTGGTCATCAATTTGCTACATGGTTGGGGGAAAAGTTAAACATAGACTGTGCGTGTGCATGTGTGTTTCAAATTAGAATACGGCAAACAATACGAATGCCGAAGGGGTAAACAATTTTTTTAGGCAGAATTCATCCATCTGTGAGACATAAAACGAATGGGTTACACCTTGGCTCGATGAATGTTATTCTTCGTAGCTTTCAATGGGAGGACAAGAACACATCAAATGTTGGTCGCCATATTTGTCATCAACACGGGATATTGTTGGCCAAAATTTATTTGTATGATCTATCCAGGGCTGTAATGTAATACAAAAAATTATAACCATCGAAAAGCACAGTAATAAAATAGGTACGCTAGGCGTACATACATTGCTACAGTTTTTTGGTGTTACTTATTTCAATATACAGTCATTCCAATCGAATTTCCTCAAAGAGGAAATGACTGACTCGACTTGGTCTAATCTTCCTTTCCACGAGTTTTGTTTGGCTAACATAATGTAGCAGCGTGTGGGATCCCAGGGAAACTAGTCAACATTGGACAAGGAAGTATTACAGCCGAAGAAAATTGTTTAATATTTATTCCGTCAAAAACTCTTGAATAGAAGATTTATTATAGATAGGAACAGACAACTCTCTATTTCTCACAATCCTACGTCATGTTATACAGACTGTAGTGGCAGGGACGTAGGTAAAATTCAAGTTTAAATTTTGACATTTTCAGGTAAAATTTGCGTAATAAAGTCGTTATTTTTGTGAAATGATAACCCTTTTTGTAAAATACAGTCAACTTAGATCCAATTCGTTTGCGAATTTGCTTTAGAAAACGCCAGAAATGCATTCCTGGAGCATCAAAAATGTAAAGATTTTCTGGGGGAGGACCCCCAGACAGACCCTCATTTTCTTAGGAAACTTAGTATGACAGTGAAAATCAATCAGAAAAATCTCTATTATAATTATTACACTTCAGTTAAATGTTTAACATTGAAGTTCAAATTTCAGGTAAAATCCTTCAACACCTCCCCCCCCCCGCTTCAGATGGTTCGCTACCTCCCTGTATAGTGGAACGATATAGAATTAAAAGGAGGCGTGGAGAAACTCCTCTGTGCAAGTGATGATCCAGGTTTCCGTTTTCGATCTATTTTAGTTTAATTGTTTTGTTTTGTATTGTCCCACAATATTGCAATTTTGATAGGCAGATTGCATTGCTCTGAGCAATTTGCAACCGACGCGAACAAATTGCAAGTTGAAATTCACAAACGATTTGTAAACAAAGTCTCTGATTGGACTATAAGAAAGAGGGAAGCACCAATCCAGTGGCTCAGACTATTTGATTGGCTTCCCACTTTCTTATAATCCAATCAGAGGCTTTCTATACAAATCTTTTGTGAATTTCCAACTTGCAATTTGTTCGCGTCGGTTGCAATTTGCTCAGAGCAATTTGCCTATCAAAATTGCAATATTGTGGGACAATATTGCAATGTTGCTCGCAAGAGAACATCCGGTTTGACTGTAAATAATGGACCGATCCATCAGGATAGAGCGACTGGTTACAACCATAATAATAAAAAAAAACACTCACAGCTGGATAGACAGCTTGTTTTCTTGTGTATGGTTTATTCCATTTTTCAGTCGTCAAAACCAGTTGAGTGTGAGGAGCATTCTAGAAAACACAGATGACAATGTGTACACCGGAACTACAGTGTAATATACAGAACTTGAAGAAAGATACAGCCTGATGTTCAGGATCAGCGGAAGTGTTGTAATGTACAGGTACAATCTGGGCAATAAAATCTACCTTTAAAGGATTGTCAGTTGCATCCATTCGTCCTTGTTCGATATCAGCAATTTCTTGTCTTATGCCTACAATTGAAAGGAGATACGAATTATAATTTGACCTAAAGCTGGTTTACACTATCAAAGTTTCTGTGGTCACAGTAGGAATTTTGCATGGGTAGGTTTTGAAAGATTTGTAAGAAATGCTCGAGGGAACGGACTCAAACAATGAGTCAGTTCCCTCAAAATTTCTTACAAACCTTCAAAACATATAATTTACCCATGCAAAATTCCTACTGTGATCACAAAAACTTTGACAGTGTAAACCATGAGCCTTTAGTCACTATAGATAAGCCGTGAAACGCCTGCACTGGTGAGTTGCAGCAGAACTGACCACACTATTAGAAGTAACAACATTCCTCAATTATATTTGCGTGCGCACAAAACAATAGCTTGAACAAGACCAACTACAGGACAATTGGATATAATAAGATGCATTATTTTGTCATTTCCACCGGTTGACCAGCATAACGCTTACTGAAACCCATCTATACCATTCCTCACTGAAAGCAAATATATATTCAGGGACTTACGAATTAATGATTTGCAGAATCGATCCAGTTCAGCTTTATCTTCACACTCTGTTGGTTCCACCATGAGACTGCTGGGCACTGGCCAGGACATTGTGGGCGCATGGAAACCTGGAAGACAAAGACTCGATCAATTTGAATAATCTGCTAAATTATTCCAAACTACACTGACCCTATGCAACGGTGTAACTTAATGCTTGCGCAGGGCAAATTAAACACATCACTGGCATGAAGAAGTTTCTTCTTTATTCGATATTGTCCCTTCGGAAAGTAGAGATAGACTTGTTACACATCTGCAGGACCACCAATTTGTATAGGGTTGGGTATAATGTTCAGTTCGGCTAAGTTCTCTACATAGCGAATTGTCTCGGCATGTTTAAACCCCGCAGCTTAAATGAATGTGAATATTTTACAATTTACATTCACGACCCAACGTTTCGACCCTCCAATCTGCTCCAATCAAGTGCTGCCCTATGCAATATACAAAATGTACGTCCCAACAAAATACTGTTATTCTCACCATAATCCATGAGTCGTTTGGCAATATCAATAGCTTCAATATCTGCAGTTTTCTTGAATATTTTCACATCAAGGATAAACTCATGAGCACAGTAACCTGCATAATGGAAACAACTTTTAAAATAAAACTTCTTTATCGATTTCTCATATCTTATTTAATCGTGATTTCTCATATCTTATTTAATCATGATTTCTCATATCTTATTTAATCGTGATTTCTCATATCTTATTTAATCATGATTTTTCATATCTTATTTAATCGTGATTTCTCATATTTTATTTAATCGTGATTTCTCATATCTTATTTAATCGTGATTTCTCATATCTTATTTAATCGTGATTTTTCATATCTTATTTAATCGTGATTTTTCATATCTTATTTAATCATGATTTCTCATATCTTATTTAATCGTGATTTTTCATACCATGCTTACAGTATATAGTTCTTGAAATAGTTTGACTGAAAATAACGAGATGTCCGTCATTGACGTCAATTTACAATAATTTCAGTGAAAATATTTCAAGAACCAAGCAAAATTTGAAGAAGCTGTGAACGTCAAAAAGCGCGTAGGAAATATGTTTGACCAATCAGAGAACTTGTTGTAAAACGCATTGCCACGGATGTTTTATTGTTTTTCAATTTTGTTTATATAATATAATAAACAGAAAATGCGCTCACTCGTGAGATATCATGTTGAACACTCGAAATAAATCTGGTATTTCCGCGCTCCCATGCATGTATTATTCTCTATTTATATTAGCACTAATGAAGATCGACGTTACGGATCGAAAGCTTTGCAATAATAAACCAAAACAAATATCATACCATTTTTGCCAAGAAATCGAATTGGGTAATGATCTTTCAGTCTTGCTGCCATGTAGTTAGCATTCAGGATGGCGACCTGTGATAATGAGAACGCATTATTAGTATTGAAACCACTATTAACACACCATCGTCACCACTACCAAGACCAGGCCTAGAAAATATATTTCTCTTCCTGGCAGCAAAATAGAAATTTCCTGTGTAAGTCAAACTTCCTGCATATGTAGATTTCAGAAAACATATGGTGCTGCACCATAGATATATTATATACACTAGATAGCGCATCTCTTTTAGTAAAATTGAAGTCAAGAATATTCCAGCGGTTACCCCCATATGAATAGATGGCGGCCATGTTGGAGTTTCCCACTCGCTAATAAACGTTTAAAAAACAACAATAACTTTCATCATTTGAATATATAGTTTGAAAATGTATTTGGAATAGGTTTAACTTAATGTTTAAGTTCCCTGTTTAAGGAATAGAAAACATACGAGTCTTCTCATTTCATGGGAATATCCTGAGTCTGCAATCACGGCTTCAATTTTTGAATTGCAGAATAATTAGATGCACTATCTAGTGTATAGAAAATATCTATGTACCGCACATTGGGATCACATCTCGGCACAAGACAATCTCGACTTGGACCATCCCCCAATAACAAATTACTTTAGAGGAGTGAGTAAGTTATTTAGCCCACAGTCACGTACCACAATCAGGACCACCAAACAATAGACAAACAACATCATCAAACACCGCAATTAAGCTCTTAGTCCTACCACCAACGTCACCACTAATATCACCTCGAACAATATCATCACAACCTGCACCACGAACTTACTTTAGATGCGTGAGTAAGTCCTTTAGCCCCCATCATTTTAATGTAAGCGTAAGAGATAGGTAGAATTCCTGGTGAGCCATATGGTGCTGCAGAAACAGTTCCTAATGACGTCGCATCATCTGTTCCCATGGGATGAACAATAGGATGTGAAGGAAGAAATGGGATAAGGTGCTTCTTTCTATAAAGACATTTCAATATGTACAACGTGAAAACAACCATACACAATAAATTATTCAAATTGACTCAACAAGGCCGCAGTTTGAAGTTAACTTGTTAATATGTCAGTTTGGAGTTTACCCTGCAAATTCAAGTAAAGCGTTGTGAGTTGGAATAAAACAGCATTTGAACAATTACAATCTATTGTACACATATGCACAATAGTAAAGCACAGTACATATACATAGCACAGTACATAGCATAGTAGTAAAGCAAACTAAAGAAAACTGCATTGTCGAGGGGAGTCAACACTGCAAAGTTGCTTGTTTCGAACAACTTTTAACATATTTAAATCATTCGTGCTCCGCCATGTTTTTTCTGAACAGACATTTTGTACAGACTCACTGGCACACGCTTGCACTTGCAACATAGGACTTGCAACTCCGAAACGGCCCATTTGGGTTTTTTGTGACCTTTCCGATCACAGGAGGCCCAGGCTCGATTTGCCCGCGCCCGCCTGTGCCTTCCTTATAACGAGGGAAGGAAGGAGACATTGAGACCAAAATAGCCCAGACTTGGCATATGTCACACGAAACTATCCTCGATTTTTCGCTTTTAATTAATGCATTTCTTTCACGATTAATCGATATCCACTGCAAGAATGATACCGTATAACTCTCAAAACAACGATGCTTTAATCAAAGAGCTTAAATTCGCTCTGAAATCCGTGAGGGAATAACAAAATTCGGCCAAAATATATCCGCGTGCCGGGTTTGCTGTGCAAAAAGCGGAAGTCGTTGAATAACTCAAAATACACTCAACCCTGATTGGACAACGAATATCAACAAACATTTCAAATTTGTTTAACAGTACTGTAATAATTTCAATCATACAAACAAAACTATTCACAAACGTTATAATAAAGTGTAAATATTACTGCATGTAAATATAACTGTAGTACGTTAATATGTATAATAAATTGTATTTCACATTGTGTTTGTTAAAAAAATTGAAAAGTTTGTTGATGTTCGTTGTTCGACGGATTTCAGAGCGAATTTAAGCTCTTTGAGAGTTATACGGTATCATTCTTGCAGGAGATATCGATTAATCGTGAAAGAAATGCATGAAAAGCGAAAAATCGAGGATAGTTTCGTGTGACATATGCCAAGTCTGGGCTATTTTGGTCTCAATGTCTCCTTCCTTCCCTCGTTATAAGGAAGGCACAGGCGGGCGCGGGCAAATCGAGCCTGGGCCTCCTGTGGTTTGGTAAAAACAAATTATCTCAAATACTTACACTCCAATAGGTCCCACCCCAGGCCCTCCTCCGCCATGTGGGATTGAAAATGTCTTGTGTAAATTCAAGTGAGAAACATCAGCACCATAATCACCTGGACGACAAAGGCCAACCTAAAGATGAAGTGTGGAATGATGCAGAGAAAACAAGTTAAAAAACGTTGCACGGAAACTGTGCATAAACAACTGTTAAAACAGGGGTTAACACGCATACTTAATTTCCTCAGTTTTATATTTAGCGATTTCAAAGTTTAAACTATGCCTATCTATTCAGGTCTCGCAGTATGACGTATCATCAAAAATAATCCGCCATTTTGGGTGGCAAAACCAACTACTAGACAGCTGTGGATCATTAAACTCTTCAAAATGATCAAACAAAAGCAACTGCAGCCACAGTTAGTGCCTCAGTCTTGCTTTGACGCCATGTTTGATAGTAATATCGAAAGTCACCCGGCGCCACATATATTATTTGAACAAACCACATGCATGCCATAATCTGAAGATAAATTAATGGGACACCGAAGTATTTGTATAGGTTATTTTGAGGCAACGAGGGGATATGTGATTTGCGCGCCGAGGTGAATAAACACATACCCCGAGGTGCCTCAAAATAACGTACTTATTTTTCACATTGCGAGGTCGCGTTAATGAGTCAGAATAGCAATAATTCTTAATGCCAAATTGCCTTGTTTATGTTGGGTTTTTTTCTCATTTTTTGTGCTGTAAAGACATTGCAGGTGAATATTAGAGGGGATTATTAAACGGAAATTGATTAGAGGGGAATATTGAATATATTCCCCTATAAGAACAAAGGAAACCGAGCAAGGTGAAAAATAAGATGCTAAATTTTCGTTTTTGTTGCCCTTCCTTGCTCAAACACCCCCCTCCTCCCCTCCCCAACAAAATCGACATCCAGAGACCATTTTTGAGGCAAACAACATTTAGGAACAACATTGGTTAGAGTGAGTAGCGGAAAGCAAATATTACGTGCATTTAGATTCGCGTAGTTTTGAGCGTGTCTTAATATAATTATTCCACGACTGCTCGTTAAACGCTACGACGGACGGGAAATACATTTTACAATACTGCCAAAATAGTCATCTAAAAGCTGCGACTATGTGGAATGATTACCAGTTATTTTCTTAAACAGCATAGAATGGATATTTCCAGGTAATAATTCACGCCTACCTGAGCGTTCATATTTGCACCATCAAGATACACTTGTCCTCCATTCTCATGAATTAAAGCCAAAACATCTCTGAAGAAAACGTCAGTTATATAAATTGATTGAAAGTCAAATTCACTACCACTGCTCTAGTGGACTACACTATGGCATAGTTACTATATGATACATCTCTACTGCATCTTATCCCTATATATCCTTATCAAGGTGGTGTAAAATATTTTAATATTAATTAAGGTAACGCGTCATGCAAAAGGTCTTTATAGGTAAGTCACCATATTCGTCTTCTGCAAATTGGCGTACCTTTTATTCTCATGTATAGTTACAACTAAGAAACATTTACTTTTTCTCCGAGTCAGCGGCGCTGTATATATAAGCACCCTGATATTTTCCCCGACTGCTCGTGAACCGTGTTGCAGCTGCAATAATCCATTTGGAATAGATGTTTAAAGTTACAACTCCACAAAAAATATTTTGGGTTTTTTTACCTAATGCCTTCATCAAAAACTCCGTTTGTGGAAGGATAGGTTATCATAATAGCACCAAGATTGTCTTTGTGTTTTTCAACCTGAAAAAAATACTTTGACCATCACTGCACAGATAACAATACCAATTATTATGTAAAAAAACGACTCACTTTTTAATAGAGTGGTTTTGATCCGATAGCAGGTGTGGGCAGCTGGTAAATCCCATTCCGTCTCAGTCATTTCTGGTGGCCTAAGTCAACTACCGGGTGTCCCAAAGAAAAGTACTCCTGTTTGATTTATAATAACTTCTAAACAAGTAAAGCTATCAAACAGAAATAACTTGCATTACATATAGGAAGGACTGACTTAGATTTTGATATATTAAAGTTGTATTTTACTTAAAAATTCACCGAGATATTAATGTTCAAAATCGGGAGCATATTTTGGGATGTGTCTAAAATTAGCGAAAATCGGCATATCAAATATTACTCCAGCGTTTGTTTGTTTAATGACATATCAGGCTAACTTGTATTTCAACGAATTGTCGTTAGGGTTTGTATAAGGGATATGGCGTACGTAGATTTAGACATCTTAACATGCATGTAAGTCTTAGCTCATGTCATTGTTTCCTGAAATATGAATGTTCGAAATTATGCCAGTATTTAATAGGTCTTTACAAACTTAAAGGTACATGAAAGACCCCTAAGGCAGGCGCTTAAATTTTTCTTAAATTAAATAGCCTAATTTTTTTATGTCTTTTATGGGTTAAAAACAGAGTTGATTATTTCTCGGTTAGAGCAGGATGAATAATATTCTTATTATGAAGGAAATAATATTGCTTTTTGCAAATACACATCACAGTATCGACGCTACTATTTTGTTACGTTTTGTTCCAAAAATGTTGGATGTCTCTGGGGAGTTGCTTGTTATGACTTATGGAGTTGTATGGTTAGATTGTGTTTCATTCTCAGTTTATTCTGAACTTAACAAGATAAACAAGATTAAGAAAAGGCAAAACTGTTTGAGTTTTCTTAACAAGATTTCAGAACTTTGAAGAAGTTAGAAGAGCTTCACAATTCTATTGTGACAGCATGCCCTAATTCAGAACTACGAACGCGGATATTCATGACGATCCTTCGCGATGCAGTGGTCTCATGAAATAAGGAAACGTATTCGTGCTAGGAACACATGCACACGGATTTCGGACAAATATATCTTGCTTGTATTTTGTAGATAATAATACTTTGTTTCATAATAAACAATTTGTCAAATGTCATTTATTTACTGGTAATAGTGCATGTTTCAGTCGGGCAAATGTTGATTAATATTTGATACGCCGTTTTTTGCATATTTCAGACACATCCAGAAATATGCTCCCGATTTTAAACATTAATATCTCCGTGAATCTTTAAGTGAAATACAACTCTAATATATCAAAATCTAAGTTAGTCCTTCCTCTATTTGATGAAAGTTATTTCTCTTTAAAAGCTTTAATTGTTTAGAAGTTATTACGAATCAAACCGGAGTACTTTTTTTTGGGACACCCGGTAGTGAAAGACAACTCTCCCTGCACCCCCCCCCTCCCTGACAAAATCCACGTGTACACAAACTGTACCAAGATGTTCTTTCATGGTGTTCCAAGCTTGTCTTAGACCACTTACGCCTGTATTCTAAAAGCTCACGAACACTCAAATAGTAGATGTTCAATCTGAGCTTCCCTTGTGTGTTAGCGCAGTTTTTGAGACTTTGCTTACTAGATACCTAGAAATCTGCTCCATCTGTTCACGCCATACGATTAAGGCCGTTTTCCCTTACGGTCACTTTCACTTTGCACGCGTGGGATGAAGGACACAAGTCATGTGTGTACTTAGCATAGATATCTTACATACACAAGATAGCGCATCTCTTTTAGTAAAATTGAAGCCAAGAATATTCCAGCGGTTACCCCCATTTGAATAGATGGCGGCCATGTTGGTCGTTCCCACTTGCTAATAAACGCTTAAAAACAATAACTTTCATCATTTGAATATTTTAAAAACGAATTTGGAATAGGGTTAACTTAATGTTCAAGTTCCCTGTTTAAGAAATAGAAAATATACGAATCTTCTAATTTCATGGGAACGACCTGAGACTGCAATCACGGCTTCAATTTTTGAATTGCAGACTAATTAGATGCACTATCTAGTCTATATAAGATATCTATGGTACTTAGTCACGCGTGCAAGCCAAGAAACTTGAATGAGGCCAAAGCAGACTGAAAACTGTCAAGGTAAACAACTACAGTGCATGTTCAAAAATGTTCACTCGTCTCGCGGCAAAGCGATCGTAACGGAAAACGGCCAATATGGATTACAGTCATGTGAACATCCGGAATGGCGGTAATGTATTAGCGCAGTCTAAGCCTCCGACGTTCGTACAAAATTGTCAACATAAATTACGTTACAATTACCTCTTCTCGCAAATGGTCCATGTTGATTTCGCCATGTTTTCCAATCTCAACGAAAACGATTTTAAAGCCAGCCATTTGAGCGCTTGCTGGATTAGTCCCGTGGGCAGATTTAGGAACGAGGCACACCTAAGATGGAATACATGTTACGATCCTACCTTGTCCAGAAAAAGTGCAGATGATGTAATTATACCCAGATAAAGTACAGGTGACGTAATTATACCCAGATAAAGTACAGGTGACGTAATTAAAAGACTATACCCATGAACGCAAGATTAGTACGATATGCTACAAAATTGGTCATTTCATTTTATTTCAGTAGCATTTTCATTTGTACTAAAGTTCCACCCAAGTGCTTAGAAATCACAGAGACACGCTACATTTCGGTACCATACGGTACAAGACCATGTTATACACGACAAAAAGCCATGGTATGTAGAAAAGTACTCTACGGAATTGATTCGCTTTCGTGCTCTCTTCACTGCGCATGCACTAATTCATTTCGCTGCGAAATTTTAGCATTCACTAAAAGAAAAAAATGATGTGGAATTGGCAGTATATGCTACCTCAGATTTCACTACCAACCTTTCTATGCGATTCTCCTCTGCTATCGTGGTAAGCTTTGATTGCCAGTAAACCAGCATACTCTCCTTGAGCGCCGCTAAAAATAAAACAACATGACGATAGGGCTTTAACAAAACCTAACAAAACGAGGCTGGCTTTATATATTCTTTATGTCGATTCTTCTTATAACATTTTCAATCTTGAATTTAACAACGCCATTTCTTACCTATTACTGTACCTATTACAATCTGAATCTTTGCACTCTGACTAATATATGAAACAACTGTTAAAGCTAAATCAACCGAGGAATTGGCAAGCGAGAGTTTGCATGAAAGTTTCAGCTCATTCCCTGGTCAAACGAGAGCAAAAGTTGCCTGAGAAGTGACTGAATGTTACCGCGCAAAGCAATCTGACGACCAATATTCTCATCAGCTTGAAGTTAATGAGAACGCATTGGAGTTGATGAAAGTTGAAGGTGAAACGCGTGCAAAAGTTGCAACTCTCACTCACTCGTACATTTTCTTTATTACCATAATCGGCGGATCCTTCCAATCGCCCAAACAAACGTGCATATTTTCGCGTCAGAACATTCAGGTTGTGAAACAATCTCGTACCCAGAGCCACTCAACGATGGCTCTGGGTACGAGATTGGTTGTGGAATTGACAGTTCGGAAATGGTGACATCTGATTGGTCTGAATGCGAAAAAGTGTCTGAAATTAGCTAATAATAGTTTGACATTTTAGGTGTAAACGTAATCGGCGTAGGAATGTAATCCCATTCCTGAATATCTTGATACGAAAACAAGACACGGTTTTTCGGGCAAGAGGAAGGATCCGCGGTTTTGGTAATATGAGAAATAGAGTCACGTGATCAGTTGTAGCAAAAGACGTATGATGAATGCGATCAAATATCTACCTGTTGGGTTGGAAGCTGATAGCATCAAATCCAGTAATTTCACATAAATCATGTTCCAATTCCTTAATTAATTCAAGATATCCTTCTGCTTGTTCAGTTGGCGCAAACGGATGGATGTTTGCAAATTCTGGCCAGGTTATTGGCTAGTGAATAATTGCAAAGGATAATGTTAACACGAAGATAGACTTAAAATTATATTTGCAGAAAAACACATAGCCCAATAATCTATCAAATAGGATGAAATTACAGCACAGTTTTTAAATTGCACAAATTTAACATGGGGAATGTCCACTCAATACGTAATATATTAACAGTTGGTCGAACAGAATTAATGTTTGGGCTGCTGTATAGCTATTTTCATTTGCCCTCAAAGTTTTTAATCTTACTTGTAATTCAGAAGCAGCGTTGAGTTTCATGGTACACGAACCCTAAAACAAAGAAGCAACTATTACTTCAGACACTCACAATGTTAATCTCAGAATGTAGGAAATGGCATTTCCGTGACACAAGATATTAACCCTCTTAATCCCCTCCTGAACGATTCTATACTTTTTGAAGCTTCGAGATTCTTATTCTTTACTCTACGTCTCTGGCCGGTGCGCCCTCCGTTCTCGCTACGGACTCATGTGAAAAGAGTCTGTCAACTGAACCCTCTGCCGAAAGTCGTGGGTTTTCTCCGGACGATCCAGTTTCCTCCCACAGGGTAAGTTGACAGGGCGTAAACATAGTTAGGAAAGCAATATCTCAAATGTTGTACAGATAAATAATCTAGCTAAGCAGGTAATATAAATATAAGCGTAATACTGAATGCAATCGGTCACTAAAAAGCCCAGATGGGGAGTGAACTGAACAATGCATGTGTATACAAGGGGCATACAAGTGTTTACGCATTTTCATGAATTTGATAAAATTTATTTCTTGTGACTACTGATTATAACAATAGTCTTATGGAGCATGTTTTTACTATGTGCTGCAGTAATGAATTATGTAACAGCTTGAAACTGCCTTTCCACTTGGTTTCCACTTCAGCTGAAGTACAAAGGTCAAGGTTTTTAAGAACATGAAGAAGTTCCTTAACCTCAACCTGAAGTTGTTCTTGTATTTTAAGTAATCTATACAGGGTGTATAAAAAAAAGCGCAATCCTCGACTGAAATGTAAATTGCTAAACAAATAATAGACGAAAAGGTTAAAGTTTACATTCATTTTAAAGCGTAGCCATTCAGCTTTCTAACAGTGGGTTGTTTCTTAAATTTGACTCATTGGTTCGCGGGTAATAATACTTTACGTTATTGCGATTGAAGATTAAAAAAATTGAGATGGAATAACAAATCGTTCTCATGAAAATAACTGATTTTTTCATTAAAACAAAAAAATGTTGCATTTTATTAAATGGATTGTAACAACAAGTATAATTACGGCTTTTCTTCCACTATTTTTAACTCAGTTTGGAACTTCAAATGCGATATAATTTTGGCTTGGACCATCTAAGCTGACTGACATCAACTTGCTGTAATTTCTGTTTACATTAAATCGCAATTCGATGACACACTGGCTCAGACACCAGAATGTTTTGATGATTTTTAGCATTCGTTTAGGATTTTCAAACAACCTGGTCTCTTTTAAAATACTTTTAATTTGTTCTTACGTGGTTTTCCAGATGTAGTGACAACAACATTACAGTTTAAAGAAGAAAATTCTAACATTTAAACCGACTAAACAATAACATAGTAAACTTGCATAATTAAACAGCAACTAAAAATGATAGGTTTTACTAAACCTTTCCCTGTGCAATTATTACTAGCATTGGAGACAAGGATAATAGTTTGTTTGAAAGAGAAAAGAACAGGCTTTGAAGTAAGCTTAAAAGCGTTTAACTAGAAATAGTATTTCGAAAGTTATTAAGCACAAAAGATGAATTGCGTTTATTTTGATACACCCTGTATATATAATTGCCTGCATCTCAGGTTGGTGGTTCTTGACCCACAGCTTCTTTTATGCGGGCTATTACTGTACTACTCGTGTTCTACTGATTCTAATAAAACTGCCATACTAACCAAAGGAATCATGGAATGAACCAATGATAAATCTTTATTCTCTAGACGTTTCATATATCTCATGATCTGTGTCTCCGAGTGATGAGTGTTGAACACAGCATGTTCAAGGTAATTGCTACGACGCTTATGATCACTCAATAATATACTGCTTCCTGGAGTTTCACTCAACTCACTATTGGCAAGACTATCCTGCTCAAAAATAAAATAAAACTGATGAAGAAAAAATAGAAAGTATATGACTTGATTTAAACTAGTCATGATAAACGTTTCATATAAAATTGTCCTACTCACATACAAACTTAAATACAAATCTACTGTTGAGTGGAAATTATGAACAAATGCATTGAAATTCATTCTGAAAATTCAATCATGCATTCGTTGATTTGAAACTCACCGAAGTATCTTTACAACCAAACACTGACAACAGATCATCCAAATCTTTTTCTGTCACTGTTTCATCCATTGATACACCAACCTAGAATGAAAATAACCTTGTAATATTAAACTGAAGTATACGTTTTCCGGTATAAAAACCTCAAATAAAGATAAAGTGCTTGGACTTGAAAAATTGGTTACTGATACCAGTGCATGGTAAAGGCCCTGTACAAATACAATTTCACTTACGTGATCATTATCCAGCTTTCGAAGATTGATTTTATGTGCAGCAGCTTTCTTCATTATTTCATCAGCCGAACCATTAACACATTTCACCTGATGATAAAAAAAAAATTTAAGAAAATGATGAAAAATGAGTTACTGGCAGAAATTTAATGAGATTATAACAAAGCTAGGTGAGCATGCGTGGTGCGGAAATTGGGTGCTACGTCGAGTTGTGCGTCATGTTAATGCACACGCAAGCGTAACACTAATCGTTAGCCGGAAAGCTAAGAGTTAAAATTCAAAGAGTTGTGCAGCTCAGTCATATATATACATGTATCGTCAATTTCATTGGTATGATTTTGGCGCAAACTTTCCGAGTGGAGCTGGCAGTTCAAGATACCATTTGCATGGATCGAGTATCACCACTAGTTTCCAATCCACCTCGGAGAACAGCTTGCATCTACTCTTACATTTTGTGACTAATCATATTGGCAAGTACTTTATCGAAGATATATATGGTGTTTTTTTATCGTGTAGATATGAACGGTTTTCTTTATAATTATATAGAGGGCAAAATTACTCAAATATGATTGGCTAATGAGGAGGGCATTTTTTCTTAATTCAGGGCAAAATTACTTGTACCTGATTGGCGGAGACGCGAGCGTGGGAAGTTTCTTGTTTTAATTAAATAGCAATAAAAACAATGGCTTCTCGCTTCGTCGTCGCGGATAATGATGTTATTGAAGAATTAAAAACTTCTATATAGTAAAAACTTGAACACTGTATAGAAAAAGTACATATTTATTATTTATAAAAGTACATATTTAGACATACGAGGTTCAAGATCACAGTTAACTTACGAATAAATTTTGCCCGCTATGATTAACAAGTAATCGCATATAGTTCCTCGTAAAATTAAGGTTTAATTTCACTTGTATTTTCAAAGTTTCACAAATTGCCCTTGTCGCTTCGCGACTCTGGCAATTTGTGAAACTTTGAAGACACGCGTGAAGTTAAACCTTAATTTTACTCGGCCCCATGCGATTACCTATACTAGCTAATTATCCCGTGCGAGCCATAAAGCGTAAAAAATAACACCATCATTATTGATGAAAATAGAATGAGTAAAATTCACAAATAAAATTAAAGTTAATTCAAACTAATCTTATTTTATTCATGTTGACGCATGCCACTTTAACCACTACTCGTACAACAGAAAGTCGTTGTCCTTATACATATATAAAAATAATACTTTTCACGATAAACAAAATCTTTACATTACACTTGAATAATACCTTGAGAGTGTCAAAGAAATGTTCTTTCTGAATTTCGTGTCCAGCTCGTTTTATACCTAACCACAAAACGCGAAAGTAACTTATGAAGGTTAAGTATACATTTAAGGAAGATCAAGGGCAGACAATGTATTATACATGCAGGCGGAAGGGAGTACATGACGTCACATTGGTTAAGGGAGTCTTCGTGCGATTATGACAGATGTTCTGCATGGTCTGTGTTGTCAAATTTTTTCTTCGTATTTATGTAATACACTGTATGTAGAACCATAGTTAACATAATAGAACACAATGTGTATACAACACTAAAATACACTCACTACACTGCAAGACTGTAAGTTCATAACAGGCAGAATCAACTCAAAACAATCGTTCTGGGGACGTTCCGCAAGTCTGCAGGAATTTTTTATTTTCAGGTGTGCTCACAGAAAGATAACCACTTTTTCCAGCCCTAATCACAATTGGAAATGCATGCAGGAAATGGCATTTGCGAAACAACTTCAAAACAAGCGTTTTATCAACCGTTAAACCCTGTAGATATCCTTGTAGTCAAGCCAATAAGCATTCAATGTTAACACTCCAGTGTTTCGAGATATATCCACTTACCTTCAGCTAGTATTAGTGTAGCATTGTGAACTCGCGTTGCGATGTTCTTCAAGCCATGAGGACCGTGATAAACACTGAACAATGCAGCAAGATTTGCAAGCAATGCCTAAACCGAGAAAACACGGAATAAATCGGAATGAAACTTGTTACAATCCTTATTATGACAGAATCGCTTTACACTGATTGTTTGAGAAGAGTGCAATCATTTTAATAATTGTATACGATGTATATAATGCTGACAGAACGAAGAAAATAGTTGTGCCGGACAAACAGCGTTGGCATATTAGTATCCGGTCACGGACAAATATTTAACCATCGACTCTTGCAGACGATAAGCTCAGTCTTTCACTGTGTTAGTATAGGTAATCATGCGATGGCGAGTACAATTAGGGATTAATAGTACGAGTGATGTTTGGAAATTTTGCCAAAATTGGACGAGCAGCCGGGGCGAGTCCAATTTGGCAAATTTCCAAACATCACGAGTACTATTAATCCCTAATTGTACGAGCAACATCGCATGATTACTTGTTTATTATTAGCATGACAAAATTGGATACTTCTCAATGTCAACATCATATTCTCTCGCCAAAGCCCAGTCCTGCCAGACTATCACCCAAAATTTGGTGCTTTTGTTCGTATTTTCATTTAGGTGCTTTTGTTCGTATTCTCATCTAGTTCCTCTAAGGAAATTTCATTTCACATTTGTATTTTGTTAAAACACCTTTCCGCAATTTTGTTTGTTTTGGGAAAATCATTAATTGTACTCACTGCAGTACAATTAATGATGGTAATAGAACGAATAGGAGTGCTATTAATGCCATAATCATACGAGTGATTACAAAATCAACCGACCGCGTAGCGGGAGGTTGATTTGTTAATCACGAGTATGATTATGGCATTAATAGTACGACTTTAATTCGTTCTATTACTTATTAATTATTTATCTTCTGTAATCAAACTGGTTAAGGGGGAAAAGCAGAAAAATACAATTTGTTGAAGTTCAATATAATTATTAAATTTTTGTCACGACAATTCTTAGTGAAATAGCAGAGGTGAAATAGTACAATTTTGAATTATTGTTTATCATATATAATAAATTAACATATTATTAACTTCCGGGCATTATTTCCGGTATAATCACATGACAACATTTGTTTGAATTATTCAAAACACAATTGGGAAGCCATGTTTGTATGTTTATAACGTGTTCAAAATAGTGAAGTTCTTTAGTCCAATTAATCATCTGAATTGGATTGATCATGAAATATAACTCCTGGTTGTGTTTAGTTCGGTGTCTTCTGCTGGATGAACAGGTAGGTCATTTTCGTCAGAAAATATATAATTTAACAACCCTCGAAAACGAGATCTGTAGCAGTATTAAAATGCCGACCTATCAACCTCCCATGTCGGCAATGTTTTGCCGACCTTAATTCACTTTAATTAATAATCTTTTTTGGTGCTTATAGCTGTTAAAAAGTCAGCGATTATAGAATTCGATGCACTTTGGTGTAAGGTTTAAGAATTAACGTGTATATTTATGATATAATTTAGGTAAAACTCTAAAAGAAAAGGCTTCGTGACATTTATACTTTTCAATGATTCGTAAATACGTGATTACTAGTGCAGGCTACTAGTGCTCCAAGACATGGAAACAGATTTTTAAAAATGCCGAGATGTACCGAGCTAGGTCAGGTTTAGGTCGGCATTTTTTTTCCGACCTCAATTTTGACGGTTTTCGAGGGCTGATTTAAAAATTAAAAGGTCAAAATTTGTGAATTCCTCCATTTTGGAATTTTTTACAGCAATAAAGAGAATAAAATTCAAAGTTTGTATCCTGGATGCTGATTGGCTAGTTGTAAATACTAGACTGTTTTTCATTGGCTGTAGACAAGAGTGCGATTACAGCTCAAAAAGGTGCGATTAATGCTCAAATCGCACTCCTGTAAACCAATGAAATTGCAGTATTTGCCACTGATTACAGAAGATAAATAATTAATGAAATAATTGTACTCCTCTCAACCAATCAGCATCCAGTAATTTTGTCATGCCAAAAATAAATCACTTTATCATTCACATTGAAAAATGTACAGTACAAACTTAACTCACCTGTGCAGTACAAATATTACTTGTGGCTTTATCCTTACGAATGTGTTGTTCTCTGGTCTGAAGCGCCAGTCTGTAACAACTGTTTCCCATGTTATCCCTACGTGACAGAGTTGCACAAGAATTAGCTAACGCTTTCCCCCTTTTAATACCGATTAAAACTAGAGATGGATCGTCTGTCTAGATAAATCCCCCATCCAAGAATTAGCTAACGCTTTCCCCCTTTTAATACCCGATTAATACTAGAGATGGATCGTCTGTCTAGATAAATCCCCCATCCAAGAATTAGCTAACGCTTCCCCCCTTTTAATACCCGATTAATACTAGAGATGGATCGTCTGTCTAGATAAATCCCCCATCCAATGGATCATCCGGTTTACCCTATTCCCTCGCATACAAGCACACTCCCAACCCCCCCAGATATAGGTCGACGCATGCACTTATATCCGGATATAAGCACAAGCCCTTGAGTTTGATAACTGTTTATCAAGATTTGAGTTTGAAAAATATTATCAAGATAATTTATGTATATATAAATTTCTCATGCAGAGAGAAATTGAAAATTGCCCACCAGTATAGTTGAAAGAACGATGACAATGTTCGTCCTGCATTTATTCCTTTTTCAGTTTATTTTTCATGTTGTTCGTTAAGGATATACCTTCAACTTGAATGCCTTATTTTTTGGTCCTTTGACTCTATATTGCCATTGTTTGTTTTGCAAACAGTTTTGGCTTCCGGAATGCAATTATTCCTGATGTTCTCCCTTTTAGAAAGTCTACTGCTGTACACTCTCCTGTACAATTTTTAAATACACAATAATCTGACAAGAGGAACTGCGCAGGTGTGGTGTATATAGCGCCCCGTTTATACACAGAAGAATTAGTAAACGAACTATCTTTTCTTTGCCCAACTTGATTCACATGGAACATGCATCTAATTCGAGATTCCCTTTATTACGTTTTCGTAGCGCTTTGCATTGTGGTTATAGTGGTATCACTGATTAGTTGAAGATGGCTTATTTTTGTCCTGACCCGTGCAAGAACTTTTTAAAAAAGCTAGGGTCAGGTGCGCGATAGCCAACAGCAAAATATTCGCGAAAACATTCAATATTTTCATTTGAGGCCGCTATCTTTATCAGTGATACCACTATAACTACAATGCAAAGCGCTACGAAAACGTAATAAGGGGAATCTCGAATTGTATAAAAATCGGAACCGTCACAAATACTAGAGAGGTTCAGACTTTGATTTACACTACCGCTACCATTAGCCAATCAGATGCGTTAACCAATCAAATTATACCAGATTAACCAATCAAATGCGTACAGTTAAAGCAAGTGAGAGGCAGCGGGAGTCAAATCTGAACCTCTCTACTCAAATACCTGGTAACACCAATAAGTCGGCCAGGTAAAGATCGTTGTAGGTTTCCAATGTTTCGTATTGCGAAGAATCCAGCATGTGGACCACCATAGCCTTAAATTACACAATTATTGTAATCCATAAATACTTAAGTTGCATCCGATATGCCATGCGAGGTTCTACACAGGAATTCCCACAACTACGAGTCTAAAGTTTTAAAACTCCATCATTACTTATGACACTTTACCAGGAAAATGCGAGTGAATAGAGACAATTAGTTTTGAAAGGAAGAAAAACACTCAATTTACTCTCGAACGTAATTTAACACTTGGCTAAAATTGTTCCATTCCACGCTACATTATCATAAGAAGTGGTGCGAGTTATCCAAATATGTCAACTGGATGGCACGTAGCGGGCATGCCGTTTTCCACTTCGCCCGTATCGTACCGTAACGTACCGGTGAGCATGCGTAGATTGAAAAGAGGTTGATAAATCCGCGTACTTCTGGTGTATTTGCGTATCAAAATAACAAGTTCGTCGCAAGTCAACTTTTTGGCGTACTACGGACGTATTAACCAATTCACAAAATTTTGAAATTTAAAAATGTTTTTGATATACGTTTCGGTACGGTACGCCGTACGCTTGAAGTGGAAAACGGCCTTTAAGGTCCTGTCACACTATTGCGTATGAGACAAACGTATGAGAAGCGTATGAAAATTAATGAAATAATTTTCATACGCACAAAAGTCCTTTGAAATGTCAGCGTATGAGTACCGTACATCTGGCGTACCTCTAGCATATTCAGCGTCTGCCTAGAGTATGCTTATTGTATAAACCACACATCCGAATACGCACAAAATTTTTAAGTATGCTTAAAAAAGTTTTTGCCTCGCCGTATGACAGCGTATGTCAACGTACGCGACCGTGCTTGAAACGTATACAACCTATGCCTAACGTACCCCTAGCGTTTGTCAGCGTTTTCCAGCGTATGAGTGATATTTTCCATACGCTGGCACGCGCTAGTACGATAAGCAATAGTGTGACAGGGCCTTTACAGGCTACTGGTCAGTTAACTAGATATTTGTCTTCAGGAGATATAAACGGGTTTTAATCATTTGACATTACTGTTCTTTAATAGTTTCTGATATATTCTAACACACCGTTTCGTAAAGCAATGTGTAAAACGCACCTAATGGTACTCCAAATCTCTGACTGTTTCCAAAAGCAATATCAGCACCAAACTCTCCAGGAGGTCGAAGCATGGTAAGAGCGAGGAGGTCTGTCGCACATGCAACCAAAGCCTTAACGAAAATATTGTAAAGATAAGACCATTGAGTTTAAGATATAGTATAGGCCAGTGGATAAAGTATATGTGAACGCTGAATGTGTAAATATCAGGGTTTTGGCAGTCTCACTCGACGTAACTAATAGACTTTTCTTTTCCTAAATTTCGACGTAAATTTTGATAGTGGCCATTTTGAATTGTTTAATTTTCCCGGGCGATGACTACTAAGACCAACATTCCTCGCGGGCATCAAGCCTTGTGACGTCATTATGCATAAGGTCTATTGTTGAAGGGATTTGTAGATGGAATTAACCAACTGAGCGCTGCACCGGAATCGCAGGGCCGCAGGTTCGATTCCTACCATAGGACCTATACAGGGTGTATAAAAAAAACTGAACAGATATGAAATTGCTCTCAATTTCGCAAAACAGCTATTAGTATATCCAGTTTTTGATGTATATAGCTTCTTTGGGTACTTATAATGTAGAATGAAAAAAAATTCTCGAACTCAAATTTTGTGAACCAGGGGTGTGTGTCTTTTCCAACAAACTAAAAATGGCTTGCGCACGAAATTTAAAAGCTTTAATCATATTTTGAGCTAATAGATGGAAAATTTGTTGGGATTTTAATTACTGTACAAAATTTTAGACAATTTGCTTTAGTTTAAGCCCTTTAACTATTAACGCAAACTTACATTTTTTCCTAAAAATCAGCTATTTGCATGCTTAATTAATGCCTTTGCCTAATTTGCATATGTCAGCAATATGCAAATTAGGTAAAGGCATTAATTAAGCATGCGAAAGGCTGATTTTTTAGGATAAAATGAATAGCTAAAGGGCTTAAACTAAAGCAAATTGTCTGAAATTTTGTACAGTAATTAAACACCCAACAAATTTTCCGTCTATTAACTCAAAATATGATTAAAGCTTTTAAATTTCGTGCGCAAGCCATTTTTAGTTTGTTGGAAAAGACAAACCCCCCTGGTTCACAAAATTTGAGTTCGAGAAATTTTTTTCATTATTCTTCATTATAAGTACCCAAAGAAGTTATATACATCAAAAACTGGATACTAATAGCTGTTTTGCGAAATTGAGAGCAATTTCATATCTGTTCAGTTTTTTTTTATACACCCTGTAGTTGCATTTTTCACACCTGCTCCTGGTTAAGTCTAATAAATGTATAACAATTCCACTCGATATTTCCATCTACCAATCCCTTCGACTATATGTGAACGCGAGTATACATGGTTTCCTAAACAGTAGTCTCTACACGGGATCAAAATTTTTTTCTGAGAATCATAAAAGGGAGTTTCGCCGGGAAATAAAATGCGACATTAACCCATTAGTGCTCAAGATTCTACTTTTGACGAGTAAAATCGCCTGGCGTCAGACAGAGCAAAATAATAAATTCGGGTGTGTTTGGACGCATTGCAGCTGAATGGGTTAATAAGCGGCGGTGATCGAATTCATCATGTGGCAGCGATTCTGAATTATACAACAGTCAAACCTGCCTTAAGCTGACATTCTCAGTGTCATGTCGTGGTGTCCAGTTAAGATTTCTGGCCGGTATTAAAAAACAGTATCAGCTAACGAGAGGTGAATCTAAGTAGAGGTTCGACCGAGGGTATTTTGATTATACGTTTTATAATAATGTATGTTCATATACGAGCCGGGCTGGCCCGGTAAACCGGGTTGACTTTCAAGTACATTGTTTTTTATATGTTTTTGAGATTTGATTCACATGAGAACCAGCTGGCCCAGATTGCCGGGCTTCCGTTTGAGCCAGATCTCGCCTTCCCGGGCTCATATGACTCAGAGTAACATCACAAACATGATATTCACCTGAGTACATAACACCAACACAGAAAAAATCATGATTATTAGATTGCATTGATACCAAAGGAACTAGACTCAGTTCCGAAATATCACATACTCGAACCGACCTGACCGCGTAGCTCAGTTGGCAGAGCATTGGGCTAGTATTCCAAAGGTCGTAGATTCGATTCCCACCGTGACCAGGCATATTTTTCAAGCTTGCCCGGTGTGAATATACACTCAGAGTCACATCACAAACATCAAATAACGCATACCCGCCAAAAGTCGCGCTGGAATTTCTTATAGAGCTTGCCGGGCTAGCCTGCCTCATGTGAAACAGCGTGGCCCGGCAAAGCGAGCTAGCCCGAGTAAGACTCAAACCAGGGCGCTTATATATTTTTCTCATACCTAGCGTATTAGCGGCTTTCCTATTGGCTACGAGGAGGTGCGTTCAATCTCGAACCCACCTGCTGACGTAAGTTTAGGAGGTGGGTTCGAGATCGATGTTTCGGCGGCGGCCATTATGAAGCGATTTGAACAAATTTCAGACGAAGATTTAAATAAAAAATTAATTAACTGTTTTTAATGAATTGTTTTATAATTATTATTTTTTATTTTGTTTGATGAAAATGGAATATTCTGTTTCAAAGTGGAAGAGAAGAAAGATAGCCGCCGAAATTTGTTCGGCACGGGCAGGTTCATGCACTTGGCAATGTTTTCGCAGAATGTGCATTTTCTCTTTCCAAGAATAAGGGAATATTTGAGAATTGTTTTAGCTTCAATTTAAGCCTAAGTTTGTTTGTTTTCGTAGTATGTTGGCGGCTAAAATGTTCAATATTCAAACAAGAAATTACATACTAAAATGTGTAAATTCTTTAGTACTTTTTATCGAAATGGCATGTGATAAAAACCAAACATACTTGCAGGTTTGGTGAGTCCGGGATTGGACGCACCTCGGGTGGCTGGAAGTTTCCCGAACCCACCTCGCTTCACTCGGTGAGTTCGGGAAACCACTGAGCCACCCTCCGTGCGTGCAATCTCGGACTCACCTTCCTGCAAGTATGTTTGTTATAAAGTGCCCTGACTCAAACCCTTAAGGTGAAAATGTAATTTTTGGCGACCTTGCTACTGAAGTCCCCCTGTACTTAATTTAAATTCTCCTCAGATTTGTATATTATTTTGTACTTTGACCTTTAGATTGCTTTTTGCGATGGTAAGGCACTTATACAAAAAGCTTATTTCCTGGTGTAATGAGGAAAAATAATTAATAGGATTACTGTATCATTCTAAACCTATAATTTTGATTTTTTTATCTCATGGATTGACGTTGTACCTTGCCTTGATTTGTACTTTGACCTGGAGATGATCCATTTGTTTTGGGTACTTACGCATTCTAATGTCTCCAATCAACTGACCAACGGCAACGCGTATTTCACTACTGTTTAAATTTACACGCGAAAAACACATTTCAATACAGTCAACAATACTTTTAAATTGAAGGAATTAAACGTAAAACTTTACTGAGAATGAAAATGCAGCAACAATTTTTAAAAGATGTGTTATTTTCATTTGCTAATGGATATTATGGATTCTTGCTACTACAAAATTTCCGACAATTTGTGTGCCACTACAGTAAACTGACATTCTTTTGTTCAATTGTTGTGAGAACTGTCCAGAACCATGTTGAGCTCCGACTGTTTCGACCATGATGATACAACGTGCATAGACTTTCTATATATTACGCAACAGTTATGTCATAATCGGTTATAAATGGTTATATAATATTTGTCATTTAGTCTGCCATCAGGCGGAGCCTGAAAATGATCTGATTCAGACAAATGACTTTATAGCCGTTTAGATTACGGTTCATGCGGTACGTGAAGGAACGTGTTTGAACCTGCGTTTTATAACAAACATACTTGCAGGGAGTTGAGTCCGGGATTGGACGCACCGAGGGTGGCTGGAAGTTTCCTGGGTTCGGGAAACTTCCAGCCACCCGAGGTGCGTCCAATCCCGGACTCACCGAACCTGCAAGTATGTTTGGTTTTTATCACATGCCATTTCGGTAAAAAATACTGAAGAATTTACGAATGTTTTAGTATATAATTTCTTGTTTGGATAACGAACATTTTAGCCGCCAACATACTACGCAAACAAACAAACTTAAATTGAAAAATTCTCTACAATATTCCCTTATTCTTGAAAAGAGAAAATGCACACATTCTGCGAAAACATTGCCAAGATTTATATAAACCTGCCCGTGCCGAACAAATTTCGGCGGCCATCTTTCTTCTCTTCCACTTTGAATACAGAATATTCCATTTTCATCAAACAAAATAAAAAACAATAATTATAAAACAATTACAAACAGTTAATTTATTTTTTATTTAAATGTTCGTCTGAAATTTGTTCAAATCGCTTCATAATGGCCGCCGCCGAAACATCGATCTCGAACCCCCTCCTAAAAATACGTCTGCAGGTGGGTTCGAAATTGAACGCACCTTCTTGTAGCCAATAGGAAAGCAGCTAATACTCTAGGTATGAGATAATATAACAAACGTACTTGCAGGGAGGTGAGTCCGGGATTGGACGCACCGAGGATGGCTGGAAGTTTCCCGAACTCACCGAGCGAAGCGAGGTGAGTTCGGGAAACTTCCAGCCACCCGAGGTGCGTCCAATCCCAGACTCACCGAACCTGCAAGTACGTTTGGTTTTTATCCCATACACCAAGCCATACACACATTTGTAGCTCTTCGCGATATATTCGTCGAAGTTTTGTCAACATTTTCCCAGCCAAAAAAAACACTGGGCTCTTAATACTTTTTTATCTACGTCTAGATTCCCTTTATTGCATTTTTTCTTTGGTTTTTCTTTAGTCTCAGTATGTTAGTCACCGAAAAAAGTTCTTTAAAGTCTAGGTTTATCGGCTAAATCTTGTCCGCCATATTTGTTATTGTTATTGCAACGTGAGCAGTTTCGCGGGTGAGTTCGGCGAAAAGCAGGTGAGTTCGGACAAAAAGCAGGTGAGCTCGACGACAAGCTCACCTGCTCTAAACCAATCAGAAAGCCGCTTTTAACACAGGTATGAGATAAGAGATTGAACGGGTGCTCCTCGTAGCCAATAGGTTTGAACCTGCCTGGGATAGATGGGTCACTTGTCATGTTCGGGTGAAGTATGTATAAATAGGAAACCGTCTGGTTAGTTTGATGGTCAATTTCTTCGTTACACAGAGAAAACAACAGAGCAAATAAGTCAGTACACATGTCGTACCTTGGCGTGATGAGCTCTCTCAGTGAGCTCGGTATAATCAACTATACTGCCATAAGTATCCGGATATTGAATAATTATTCCACTGACATCTTTATTGGACAAATCGAAGTTTTCTTTCTCAGTGACGATTATTTCCAAGCCTTCGCCATCAGGTCCCAATGTTCTAAAGAGCAAAAAAAAATGGTGCTGCTGGTGGCGCAAAGCGGTTCATAAGTTTGATTCTAGAAAACACCATTAAACTTCAGGGGCCGGTTGTTCAAAGCTGGGTTAGTTTAACCCTGGGTTAACCTAAATTTCAAAGCAAACTTCCCGACAGCTTGTCTATAAATTTGGAAATATTTCTTCAGAGATCTTGTCTGAATCAGTAGGTGTTTCCTTCTCTGAAGTTTTGAAATAAACAGACGTGTAGAAATATACAAACTAAAACAGCAGGTTAAATTTTAACCCAAAGTTAGCGCTAACCAACCTTTGAACAACCGGCCCCAGATTTTCTCTGCAGGGTATACTCGCGGTTTCCTCCAGTAGTAACACTGGACCTTTAACAAGTTTAGAAGACGTTATTCGTTCATACACGTAGTCAGAGGGGCAAAATTGTATTCAAATTAACCACAGGGTAAATTTGCTTAACCCCCACCTGTTTTTCCCCCTTGAGTGGAAAAGCTGGCTACGCCAATATATATTTGTTACCTTCCTCTTGTTTCTATCAATGCGATGGTTTGTGGATGCAGGTTTTTGTCTACATAGAACTTTTTCTTCTTATTGAACCTAACAACAGCAAAAAACATTTATTAGTTTACAGTTATTTTTTGTCCCAAATAACTAAAATTTATTCGAGGTTAAAAAATTAAATATTTTAATAAAGGTGCAAGTTATTATTTTTTCTTTATTATACTAAAAAAGAATCTTACAAGTTTACTTATCTCAGATCTGCTTTGATAAACTCTCTGTGAAATAAAAGGTAGAGCAGAAATACTGCTTGGTGCTATGCCCCGCCAGACTATAAGTAACACCTCCTTTGTAGTGCCGTAAATTAATTCTAATTACAGTAACACTGTTACTGTACCTATAGCAAAGTCCAACAGCCTCAGCTCCCGCGGTAGCTTCATCTAACAATGACGCATTAGCAACATCCAATCCAGTCAAATCACAAACCATTGTTTGAAAATTTAATAAACATTCCAAACGACCTTGAGAGATTTCTGGTTGGTACGGTGTATATTGCGTATACCTGAAAGAACAAACAAAGATTTATTTATAAGCAAAACAGTCCATAAACAAGTCACAATCTGCAAGGAAAAGTCAAGAAATTATGAGGAAATATATGTTTTACGAAATCCCATACATTTTGGTGAACGTTCTGCGTAGCAACTCAAAACGTTACATGCATGTAGTGGTTATTGTAAGCTTCAAAAATAGTACGAAAAAATTGAGAATAGATTGAAAAGCAGTACTCGCACAATTGGGGGTCTAGTATACTGTAGATAGTATTCTGCAAGAAACTGCCATATATTTATGTATATATGAACTACCATGCAGTAAAAGAACAATTTTTAATATTTTTCAAGTAATTTCAAACGCCAACTTAAGGCATAATTTTTGACAGAGGTAAAGTACGAGAGTCTTCATGGTACTGCACGCTCCTTAGTAATAAACTGATGAAAACAAGCAGTACATACCAGCCAGGATTTTCCAAGCAACTTCGCAATATTGGTGGTGGCACAAAACAATTATAATATCCAAGTCCAATGTATGAACGCCATGTATCATTTTTACTTGCTAAATGTTTCAAGTTGTTATGAAGATCATGCTCACCTATGAATGAATGTTACTTATGAAATAACTGAATGAATAATAGGAAAGCATATAGTTTTGTGAATGATTTAATGTGCATTTGTACAAGTAATTCATATATATGGAACGCCATACTGGACAAAATTACTTTAGGATTATATATGTAAAACTTCTCTCGCGCGTACATCTTATCTGCATTCTTGCAAGACTTGAACACACGCGTATAAAACATCATGCTTCGCGTGTAAATCGGCTACTGTACTAACTGTGCGCAATACTTAGAAATATCCCCGTAAGACTTCTAAATGTGGTGCGTAAGACTTTTAAATATGGTCTGTAAGACTTATAAATGTGGTCCGTAAGACTTTTAAATGCGGTCCGTAAGACTTCTAAATATGGTCCGTAAGACTTATAAATGTGGTCCGTAAGACTTATAAATGTGGTCCGTAAGACTTCTAAATATGGTCCGCGCGTGTAATAATTCTTAGCCGTAATTTAATATGAAAGTATTATATTTTTCGTGAAGTCCGTACATAATACTTGTTTACATGTTGTCTATAAACTCGAACGTTCTGTGCGAAAGACTTTTAAATAAAGAAATGTGAATTTGTAATGACTTTAACATGAAAACAAAACAATTACAAAATAATTGGACGCCATTATCAAATGTTCAGGAAATATGGAAGGCGAAATAGAAAGGGTTTTGCTAGGATTACCAGCTTTAAATGAAGAATGCGAAGTTCACAAATTCACAGACGACATTAATACTTGTGAAGTATACAGTTTGTGAACCTAATATAATAATAATATAATAAGTCTTACGGACCATATTTAGAAGTCTTACGGACCACATTTAAAAGTCTTACGGACCACATTTAGAAGTCTTACGGACCACATTTATAAGTCTTACGGACCATATTTAGAAGTCTTACGGACCACATTTATAAGTCTTACGGACCACATTTAGAAGTCTTACGGACCATATTTAGAAGTTTTACGGACCACATTTAGAAGTCTTACGGGGATATTTCTAAGTAATGCGCACAGTTAGTACAGTAGCCGATTTACACGCGAAGCATGATGTTTTATACGCGTGTATTCAAGTCTTGCAAGAATGCAGATAAGATGTACGCGCGAGAGAAGTTTTACGTATATAATCCTAAAGTAATTTTGTCCAGTATGGCGTTCCATACATATACTAGTTTTAAATTTAAAATGATTTAAACTTTTCCGTGCGTTTTCGCACGTATGAAAAACGCGTGACTGGAGAGCAGCCTTTAATGCAAAATCGGTTTTAGGGGTGGGTGGTTGCCCCCTCCCCCCTCTACCATCCCCAACGCGCCAGTATTTTGGCCAATCTAACAAACTATCTAATTGGTAGTCAACATTTAAAAAGATTTAAACTTTTCCGTGCGTGTACGCACGTATGAAAAACGCGTGACTGGAGAGCAGCCTTAGTCTCACTTTAAAACTTGTCCACCAAAGAGATACAGAGTTCTTTGTGACCATATTCATGTTCTTTCTTGTTTGAGTTTTACAGTTTTAGAGACAAGGTTTTACAAACAATTTTGCCCCTTATAAATTAAATCTTGGAAGAATAAAGAGATTGCATGCTCCAATCTTGGTTGGACAAATATTTCTCACAGGGAGAATGTAAATGCTAGCCCTAGTAAACATGGTAACTGGTTAGATCCTTAATGTCCACTTTGGTCACCTGCAAACGTGCATAGAATAAAGAAACATTTTTTCGATCACGTCTTTTGGTGGTAGGTCCTACACTTGTCAACTTTACCTTGGCATATACAAGCAAGTTTCCCTTATTTATACTGGGACGACCAACATTGATCGGTTTGACCCCTTTCTTGCCTCCAGCTGGTAAAACTGTCAGTGGTGGAAATTCACTTTTTCCGTTGGGGGGTCGAAGCGTTCTAAATTTCCGACAAAACTTTCAAATTTCCGACAACCCCCCCCCCCCTCATTTGCACTCGAAAAGGCTGTTTTTAGCCCTCTTATAGGTCAAAATTTCAGAAAATTCATCATTTTCCATGAAGGTGGGGGGGGGGGAGGGGCGCCCCCGCCCCACCGAGATTTCCACCACTGAAAACTGTCAAGATCAAGGACTGTACACATTCGATGTATTCTTGTTAATCATTAAGTTTAATAGTTTATATCTTGCACCTGAAGGCCCTAATTTTGCTTATATATCATCTTCAGACCAAGAAAAATCAGACCAATTAGCCTTTCTCACGATGACGAATATCCGCCATTTTTGGGTGGCATCCAGTTCTCGTTAACCAATGCAGACAACTAAAACAATGTGAAAAGCAATTTTTCAAAATAAACTAACCATTTACAAAGCAAATTTACCATCATTTGTCAAAAAAAATATAAAAAGTCGCCGTTATGTGGACTTATCTCGCAGACTTCGGCTGAAATGCCACCCAAAAATGGCGGCGTGAGAATGGCTAATTGCACTTACAGCATTATTTTGATCAGTTCTCAAAATTTGTTTATATTAAAGATGCTGGAGTTCATATAATTCGATCCTCTAATGAATATAGAGGCTTGTTTCAAGGCCACTACAATTGGTCTATTAATTGGACTAGTAAGATGTCATACACTCAACCATTGCTACATGAATTTATACTTAATACAAACTTTAGTAATTGCTGATCTTTAGTAATTTAAAGTTGGAATGCTGCAAAGTTCAATGTGCACATATATTCTTTCCTTTTTCATTGGTTTTACTCATCATGCCTTTCATTACAAGGTTTTACTCATCAAGGGAACAATAAGAGTTAAGCCACAATGTACGTGTTGTAATGTGCCCAGCTCCTTTATCATTTTGTTATTCTATCTGTCTACCACCTGACAATTTTACAAATTCGAGGCTGCCATTATATATCGATTGGGAAAAGTACTTGTCAAAAATTTGTCTCTTTTGTGTTGTTTAAATAAGTGCTGATAACATCATGAGAGCTAGAGTTAAGGACAAGTTTAAGGTGACACTGTATATTTTAATAGTAATGTTGTAAACTCATCAATTGGTGAATGTAATTAGGTAGTCAAATTGTCACTTTTTAAGGAGACAAAGACAAAAAGTCATTGGTGGGTTCATAGGGTGGGTCTCTTAAATGATACAGTCTACAACCAGAAGTAAACAATACCAAGATGGTATCAATTTTTTTAGATTACTTAATTGTGAACTTTACTATACTAAGTCTTGTAAAGTTCTCAGAAAAGACTATACTTGCAAAGTTTTTAAAAATTATTCTCTTATTATTTAACCCAATAAGCACCAGATCTCTTCCCTTGACAAGTAAAATCATCTGGCATTAGACAGAGTAAAATAATAAAGTAGGGTGAACTAGGGGTTAATTATATAGACACATGGGCAAAGATAGGCCAGTTAACCCATTAAGCGCCAGGCGCACGCTCTCCTTGAGGAGTAAAATCATCTGGCGTTAGACAGACGAAATAATAAAGTAGGGCACATCAGGGCGCAATGCATTCTAAAAATCTACTAAGTTTGTGAGTATACTAGCTTTGCATCTTTCAATCATGAATGGTACTTGATAACTTCCTATACAACTATCATATATGATAAACTTCCTGTATGAATGCACCAATTGATTGCCACCAATCTGGCAGGAAGTGAGAAGAAATGATCAAGTAAATGAATTTGTTTGTGTGAGCAAATGAATTAAATGGACTTGCCTGATGACTGTAAGAGTGGGAAATATGTTACAAATATGTCAAATGTGAACAAAAAAACCTTTACAAATCAGAACTAGTTACTAATTTTTGTTGTTTACAGTAGGCTTGGGTGGTTTACCAGTTTTTCAGGTTTATTTTCTAACCGTTTTTTTCGGTTTACCTTTTACAAAAACCAGAAAACCGTCATTACGTAATTGTTTACTGTCATCACCCGAAACTCGAACTTAATTCTCAAAACATGACACTAATTAAACTCAATATTACATGACACAGATACAAATTCTATTCTTTTTCCATAAGGCGTAAAAAAAATACCTGTGGTTCCGGTTTCATATCGTGAAAAAATTAGGGTCGGTAGGTCAGAATTTAATTTTTTTTTGAATATTTTTTTCATGGTTTTGGCGATTTTTTGCTGGGCGATTTGCAGTAGGGTCCCGACATCAATGTTAACTAGAGATGCATATTTCCTATGGACGAATTTAGGCAATTTGGTTCAATAATTAGTGTGACAACAGACACCATTTTGGCATGCTGTACGAACAGCCCGCAACCACCTGGAGAAAATAGGGTCGCACGGTCAATCACGTTGAAAAAATAATAGGGTCGGCAGAAAAAAATAGGGTTGGTCGGGAACCGGAACCACAGGTATTTTTTTTTACGCCTAAAGTCGGTAAGAACTAAAGAGGTATAAGTTTTCAAATGCGTTCTTGACACTTTTATTTTAAAATTGAAGTCGTTTTAGGTTACCTTTACACAATTTTGCATTTTGTTGTGTACTGTTTGTTTGCTTATGTCAAAAAAATACCACAATTCCTCCTCGTTCAGTTGAAGTACAAATTAAAGGGAAAAAACGGTTTTCCGGTTTTACCGGTTTCGAATCAGAAGGTTTTTCAGTTTTGATTTCAAGCAAAACTGCCCAAGCCTAGTTTAGAGTGGTAATGATGTACGTACTAACAATTTGATGATGCTTTGATGGTCTGCGTAATATAAAATATTTACTCAATAAGTAATCATTTCAGTAATTGATACCACTGATAAATTGTTTCAAAAATCATTGGTATTGTATTGAACTGATGGGCGAAGGGCCTGTAGATGGAAATTATCGAGTGGAAATCTATACAATCATTAGACCTAACCAGGAACAGCTCTGAAAAATGCAACCTTAGGTACGTCCCTGGTAGGAATTGCAGCCCTGCAGCCCTGCAATTCCAATGCAGAGCTTGAACCAAAGTTCTGAGCCACAGAGGCCAGTTGTCGAGCTCCAACCACAACTTCATGTATATATATAGTACTGCCATATGCCTAGGCCAGGGGTCTTCAAACCATGGGTCGCGACCCAAAATTGGGTCGCTAGCACACCCTCGAAGGTCGCAAGGCTTGTCTTGGGTCGCATGGGTCGCAATGCTTGTCTAGGGTCGCGAACTTACACTAGTAAACTTTACAAGACGAGAGATCAGGTGATAAGATGCACATATTTACATATGAATATTTCCTTGCGAAATTTGCGATTATAATGTTTTTTTCACGATTATTATGAAGCACTCAAGCGCTAGATTGCTAGAATAATATGGTAAACAGGTAAACTGGTAAAGCTTTAGATACAATACCTTTTACTTCATGTAACTCAAACATTATGGCTTAGCACCACTCGGTACGCCTTCGGAGCACGTCGTCTTCCGAAGTAGAGTCGTCGTCATACACTCGGAAGCTTTCGGTGAAAAGCGATAATGTTTTTAATTATCGAAAGTTTTATTTGCATTTGATCATTTTGATGTTATGAAAATATATTGAAGGTAAATTAATTGACATATTTTACTTCTCAGCCCCCTGTGGCTGCATAGCAGTTTATTAACCCTTCTTTCCCGTGAAGTCAAGACATGGTTGAGTGATTGGGACGGATTAATAAGATGCCTGCTAAACGCAGCATCGTGCCCAGTTGGCTGGGTAAGTTTGGTGTGAAAGAAGTCAATGGGCGGGCGTTGTGTGTAATATGTCAACACGTATATGTAGCAGAGTCTATAAAGCCCAACAAACTTCAGCGCCATTTAGAGACACATAGAAATATATTCGCTTTGTCGGAAGATGCTCGCAAGCGAGTATTCGAGAAACTTGCCGCCAATCTTGATAAATCACAACAAATAATGATGGGAAGTTTAAATGACGAACAGAAAAGACAAATATTTGTTCTGAAAACGGCCTTCCTAATCGCGAAATCAAAACAACCGTATGTCGAGGGTGAAGTAATGATAAAGCCGAGCCTCCAGAATTTCGTCGAATTGTTTGAGGGTGAATCGTTCCACAGGAAAGTGAAGACAGCGGCCGACAGCGTAACGCTGAGTGATACGACAGTATGGAGAAGAACTGTTGATTGTGCAAATGATATTTCACAGCAAGTTATTTCATATTTCAAAGAATCGCCCCAAAAGAGTATTGCCTTGGATGAATCAACTGACAATACTTCGCAGCCACAGCTTGGCATTATATGGGAGATATATAAGTCCACGAGAAAACTTGAAAGAGGAGTTACTTGAGGTACTAACGTTGGAAACGACGACTAAAGGACAAGATATTTTCGATATTGTTAGCAGATTTTTCGCGTTGAGTGGCATTGAATGGGGATCCATCAGCGAATGCAACATAGACGGTGCACCAGCTATGATTGGTGATATGAACGGCTTTAAAGGGCGAGTGAAGCGAGTCAATCCCGACATGAAATTCAACCACAGCATTATTCATCGGCAAGCCCTTGCGAGCAAGGACCTATCGGTCGAATTTGAAAATGTGATGGTCATCATAATCAATGTGATCAATTTCGTGAAAGCGAGAGATTTGAATGCACGCCTCTTCAAAAAAATCTGCGAAGAAAATGATGCCGAATATGAAACCTTGCGATTTCACAATACTGTGAGATGGCTGTCACGTGGTCGCGCTCTGAAGCGGGTGTTCTTACTTCGAGAGGAACTTTATCAATTTTTGACAGAGAAGGGTCATATAAATGCCACTAAATTCAACGATCCTCATTTTTTGGCTAAGCTGGCGTTCTTGACTGGCGTATTTACTCATATGAACTTCCTCAATACAAATCTACA